CTTCCTCCAGGAGAGTGACACATCGGAAGCAGCTTCCTGCAAAGCTTAGTTGCCATGAGACACTGAGCTGTAAAGGGATCGTGATGCTGATGGTAAACCTGGGTGACTCAGATGTCGGACCTTGTCACAGACTGGAGAAGGCGAAGAGAAGAAGTAACACTGGCGGGTGAGGGGCAGGGGCATGACAAATGAGGTTTCTACGTAGTCCATCTGCCAGTTTAATGTTCAAACATGCAGACACAGCTGGAGCTCCTGAACTGAACAGGGTAGGTAGGGCACAGGTGGGGTCCCGTCCCAGAGCTGTTGGCCTCATGTGCTGGGGTGACAGATGTAGACTCCTGTAGGGGGTTGTTTGGAACCAGGAACCCCACTGAACACTGCCAGAAAGGCTGAACAATGTGCAGGACACAGAGAAAGGGAGACACTGGTAGATACTACTGTTCAGTTTAAAACAACTGTTTCCATTACTGGGTTGTCTCTGTAGATCTTGACTTCCATGTAGTACTGTTCAGGACACAACAGAGAATACAAACAGCCTCTAAGTTTTACCACTGTCTGACTGTGATGGAGAGCACAATTTTCCCTAGTGGGAAGTAAGGCTGTGATCACAAATTGCCTCTTGACTTCACATCATCTCTTGGTTTGCCAGGAGTGACTTTCCCTGGCTCCTCACCAAATGGACTGCCCTGCTTTAACATCTGCTATCCCAAAGCACAACCTGCCACCCTCACACAGGGATCAGGGCCCATGGGAGCTGTGGTAAGGACACTGGGTCCTGCCTCAAAGCAGAGTAGGAGCTGGGCCTGTCCTACAGCTTGCCAATTGCTGATCTCTGGAAGGGCCAAGGATCTATTTTCATGTCTAGACTAGATGCAGTAACAGACCATGATGTTCTAGGACTGATTTTCAGGGCAATGGCCACAACTTTTCAAATAGCATATGATGAAGGGCATTCTCTTGGAGCTCTGCAGCTGTGTCTGAAACTCAGAGCTTGTTGGTGAGGGGGACTCACTGGACATGAGGCTGCAGTTTTGACCTGGGGCAGAGTGAGGTCAGGTCCTCTGATGATCTGGGAATGGCCAAGACTTCTGATGGTCTTTAGAAACACAGGTCCCAAAGCTAGAGTGGTGGTGGTGGTGGTGGTGTATGCGTGTGTCCCCTGCATTTGTCCTTTCTTGTGCCCCTTGCCCTGGTGCTTCAGAGTAAAGCCAGTGACATCTTCCCTCCTGAGTCTACACTGCTGGCCTTTGGAGGAGGTATGCTGACCCTCTGCTCTGGCCTCCCACCACCTGTGAGACTGCTGCCTCTAGTGACCCCTGGAATATCTGCATGGTCTTTCTAGTTGACCTGAGCTCAGCAGCCCTGTATGACCCACTAAGCTTTGGCTTTAACCAAGGCTTTTCTGGAGAGAAGAATCAAGTTTACAGGTTGTTGGATCTCTGTTCAGAACGTGTGCAACTCCTTTGGTCGCTTCACCCCACGGTGCTGGGGGCCAGAGCAGGGCCTGTGTGCTAGGTGAGCACTCTACACCGAGCTACACTCCCAGCACTTAACTTTCCCACCGAATACCTGCTGGATTTCTTTCAGTCAGGGCAGATATCAATGGACCCTCTACCTTTCCGTGCAAACACGTCACTGGATCACTGCTAAGGGCTGGGATGTGAAAGTCTCTTTGTGCTTCCTGACTCCTTGACAAGAGGGAAACAGGAAAACAAAAGGAAGAGCACAGGTGGCTAATGGCTGGCTGTCACCTTAATGCTGACTGGCTAGTACTCACAGGGGCCTGAGGGGTCTCGAGGGCAAGAGACAGCTCACTCTAGCTGCTGTTTTCTCCCTGGAGTCACTCCGCCTCCTGAATTCTGAGTGAAGTAGAGGCTTGGGATTTAAGCCTTGGCTCCATGGAAGTCTCCAGGCTTAGGCTCCAGAGCTGCTGGCTCTCACTAGAGCACACAAGAGCAAGGTTCTGGGTAGTACTGAGGGTGAGGGTGAGGGCAGCTCTGTGGTTCTGTTATTTCTCTGTCCTCACTTCAGCATCAGCTCTACCTTGGATCTGTTACCATGGTGATGCATTTTCAACATGCTATAAAATGTCACTGCTCAGCAAAGTTGTAAAAACCCTGGTCCTGTCCTCTGAGGCTCCCAGTGCCTTTGAAGTGAGACCATACCCCTTCCTCTCCAGACAGAAATTCTCTTGGTATTGAGTCTCGGGTGAAGGTGCAGGTGACAGGCAAGAAGGCAGAGTGTACACGTTGGCACTGCCCTCCCTCCTGGGGTTGGAGCTTTGGCAGGGACTACGGCATTTGTGGACAGAGTTCAAAATGGTGTGGGCCTGGGCTTCATGCACAGTGGGGATTACTGCCAAGGGGTAAGGAGGGTGCTGTACAGCTGGTCCACTGAGCTTGGACCATGGGCTGTCAGGCCCTCACCAGCTTCTATCTACTCTGCTGACCTCCTCCCACGGGTGTGCACCAGGAACACAGGGAACCAGTGGAAGGCTAGGACAGGCAAGGCTGCTCACTGTCTATACATTAGCAAGAAACAACTCTAAGGCCAGCAAGATTGCTCAGTCAGTACAAAGTGCGTCTGGTGTAAACCTGAGAAACTGAATTCAACCCCCAGAATCTACATCAAAGTGGAAGGAAAGGACTGACTCCATAAAGCTGACTGACTCTTACCTCCACAGGTGTGCCATGGCATGTAGACACCTGCCAACACATCATAAACATATTCAATAATTAATAATAATAATAATAATAATTTAAAGAAAAAAATAGCTCCTTAGGATAATAAAAATGGCAGCCACTGAGTCTTGATGCAGCTGAGTCTGGTGTACCACAGAAACAACAGAGATCCTTTGTCAAGCAGGGTCACTGATCTAGCAAGAGTTCTGAGGAAGGAGGCCCCAGAGAAGCAGACGTGGCATCACATCTCACAGGGGCTAGAGTTAGCCTGGGAAGCACACTGTAGAGCTGTCCAGCTGAGATCCTCACTGAGGGGAATCTCCAACTCCAGACTGGACTTTCCAGGAAGTGCGGCCTGAGCTGGCACGCCAGAACTTCCCAGGGTTCACAGACAGGTGCATGGTGCGGTGCTGAGATCAAAGGCACATGCCTGGCATAGGCAAAGAGAAGCCCAGGAAAAGTAAAGGGTGACTAGTTGATCTATGAGGTCATCAGGCCATGACTGACTGAGAACAAGAGGAGGGCTTAAGTCAAGATCCACATATGAGGTGAGTGGAGATCCGTTCTCCCTCTGCCCCAGGCCCTGCTGTATCAGGTGACCGCAGAGCCAGACAGCAGGCCACCACAGGGAGCACTTTGATGAAGCAGAGCTGAGAGGGAAGCAGGATAGAGCATCTGGAAGGGAGATACTTTTGTGAGAACAGGTGTAAATGTGTGCTCTAGGTTGCCATGGTTTTGAAAACCTCTTTTGCAATATTCAGAGAAAGGGGCTAAAGAGATTGCTATTCTTCGGTTGAAATGAAAGAAGAAATTGGCTTTAAACAGGCAAGTGTTGCCAGTAATGGGATTCTGCAAGTTATGAATCTTAAACACTACGTAAGCTCTGAGGTCTCCATGCAGATGTGTGCACCACCACGCTGCACACGGAGAAGGCTAGCAGGAAGGAAAGTTGCTGTTTTCTTTTCCTTCCTAAACTCTACTCACTTTGAAACTTTCCCCCTCAAATTTTTTTTTTCTTATATGTGTATGGGTGTCATGCCCGAATGTATATCTGTGTACCATGGGTGTGCCTGGTACCTGTAGTGGCCAGAAGAGGGTATTAGATCCCCTGGAACTGGAGCCACCGTGTGGGTGCTGGGAATCGAACCCAGGTCCTCTGCAAGAGCAGCCAGTGCTCTTAACTGCTCAGGCATCTCTCTAGCTGCACCCCCATGTAATTTTCCAAGATTTGAATGGTATACAGATCACACACACACACACACACCACACACACACACACACACAGCAGTGCGAGAAGATGTCACCACACAGATACTAACTTCTGAGAGGGTAGGTAGGGGAGGGTAAAGCAGACACACCTGGGCTCCTCTATAAGGAGCTGCTCTGCACCATCTGCTGTGGCCCCTAACAAAACATGATTCCTTCACCCTTCCATCTCCAAGATCAAAACTGAAGGCAAAGCTGGGATTCACTTATCAGAGCAAGAAGCAGGCTGAGCTGGCCCTGTGACAAGGTCCTGGCTCCTAGCACTTGAGCCTAAGGAAGATTCCAGGGCCCCAGGCTACACTGTGCATGTCACATATGGTCTCACCAAGATGAACTACAAGAGACGTGTTGTCTGTTTAGGGTTTACAATTCAATTCCACAGTCTGAGAACGAGCACAGGTGCACAGCAAGAAAACGCAGGAGCTAATTCTCATTTCCTGTTCTATGTCAGTAAAGTCCAGGGGTCACCACTCACGGCAGAATAAGAGAGAATACTGGCCATTAAACCCCAATTTCTAGGCAATGCAGAGTCAAGCTGCTAGGCTTGGAGTTTCAGCAATTGGGCATTGAAGGCCCTTTACGGTGAGTGACACTTTCTGCCTTGACCTCCCACTGCTTACTGTGGGGCTCCTTTGGGCACTAGGGGCAGCGAACAGCACCCCTGCTTTGCCCACCAGAAACCTGGTACAACCCACTTCACCCTTTGTTGTGATAAGCAGGCTGTCTTAGCTGAGAGCCACTGCTCCACACTGCCAGGGCCTAGCACACACGAAGAATGCAAAGAAAGACAGATGGACTCATCTGGCAGCCTTCCTGCCCAACAGAGCCAGCAAGCTCACATATCCCTGGACCAGCCTGCACAGTACCATCCCATTGCAAAATGTTCTCCTCACTTCTTCAAGCTCCAGTTAATTCCTATTCTTTTGCTTGCAATGGAGACCGTTCTGGCTCATTTGTCTGACCAAATGAAGACGTGTGCTATTTTGGGGCAGAGCAAACCTGGGCAGGGGACGACACGCAGGCAGCAGAAAGAAGGACGAGCAGGGGGCTCACCTATGAGGGAATTGAGTGCCGAGTAGGAGCTCACACGCCGCATCTTGTCGATGGTCTCAAAGGACAGGATGTACTCTTCATTCTCAGGGCTTCCCAAGGTGCTGCTGGCGCTACTGCTGGTGCTGAGGTTCCCAGGGGAGAAGGCCACTGAGCTGCCCGCTGGCCAGAATATGACAGGCAGGAGGTCAGGGTCTTACTGTTAATGGCCTATCTGACTAAAACGTGAGCTTTCTTCACACTGGGCACATGCATACACGCACGCGCATACTAATGGACATGTGTGTGCACAAACTGGTGAACCCCTTTTCCTGGAACAGATCCTCAACAGTCAAGCCCTGGCCTGACTATAAAAGGTCTATATTGTGACCCTGACTGATCTGGGTGCTGAACCAGGTCTTTGCTATACCCATGTCTGGAAGGAAGATTCTGATTCAGGAACAGTTGGCCAGGATATCAGGGCCCATGTTCTGGAGGGCAGGCAGGGTCAATAGGCACAATAGCATTTTAGAGAAATGCCTCATAAAGAACATGCTGAACCTTCCCATCCCAAATATTGGTTTCTGGCATCTTACATTCTTCTGTCAAGCTCAGATTCTGCAAGGATTTGTTCAGGTTCCTAGCTGTGGTGACAGCTCGGATGTTCCCATAGGAGCTCACTGAACGGAGTCTGGGGGTGCACGGGCTGTCTCGAACTGGGGTCAAGCTCCCCCCCTCTAGGAAAGAGGGAGAAAGGAAAGAGTTAGCAAAGGGTTTCAGGACAGGGGCATGTGGATGCCTGCAGTCATGGCAACAGGAACAGTTGGTGTCATGGGACAAGACTGAGCAAAGAAGGGCCTTCATGTCACCGACCTGATGTGAGTGCGGGACTCAGTGGGACAAAGGTACTATTTGTAGCCATGTGGGTATTAAATCACAAGACAGCATGGACCAGAAGGGCAATAATAGCTCTGAGGCCCTTCCAGGTATTTGGTGGCATAGGCAGCAACACAGTGATGCCCAGGACCCTGGGCCCAGAAGGAGCCCCAGCCTGCTGGCAGCTGCCCCTCATCTTACTGGCTGTTTGTACCCAGCAAGCTCAGGCTTCATTTCCTTTCCCAAAGGCTGAGAGGAGGAAAGCTTTGCTGCTGACCACGAGTCTCTACTGAGATCTGGAGGGAGGGTGGTGAAATAGGAACGTGGCAGATGACTGTTCTCCAGCGAAAAGGACAAATGTGAGATGAGGCGCTTCCTAACATGACTCATGGAAACATGAAGCCAACAACAATGTGGTTCAATTACTCATCACAGGAAGACGGCTAATGTTCTTTTCAGCATGCCCCACTGCAGAAGTTGCCATCTTTCAAGATGTCCCCAAATCTGAATTCCAAGAACGGTAAGAAGGGAAAGACTAAGAGGGCCAAGCACGGCCCTCTTCCCACACTCGTGTTCTTCTGAAGGCCTGAGACAATGGAAGTCCAGGTACTACCCAAAGTGTGTCAGAAAGCCATGCTCAGGTGAAGGCCAGGAAGGAGGGCCTGGGCTCCCTCCCTGTGTGCTATACCTGTGGCTGCAGGAGAAGGCAAGGGGTAGTTCTTTTCCTCTTCCATGAACTGCAGGGCCACAGTGCAGAAATTGCTCTCATATTGAACTACAAGGTGACTCAGAGCCACCACCAGCTCCTGTTGAAAGGAAGAAGGGATAATTATGTCTATGGAGGCAGGAAACAGACTGGACAGCCGGTCTGCAAGCTAATTGATGCCTAACATGACTCTAGGAAACCAAGCGTCAGAGCAAGGCTCATGCAGCCTCACAACCCAGGAGAGGCAAGTCCAGAGGAAGCTTGGGGCTGTAAAGGCAGCAGGCCAGTGGCTCTTGAATGTTGTCCCCAGCTGCCAGGCACACTTGACTTAGTCTGTTCACTCACTGCTAGGCAGGAATTATCAATCCAAGACTTTCTGAAGCCACAATGTGAATCCCACACCCCTGGATTAATTAGGCTTGTGACCCTGGCCAAAACTGCCTTTTTTGATCCCACTCTAGGGACCGGTGGGCACGGTTGACAAGCTGAAGCATTCTTTACAGTGAGCAAGAAGCTTTCTCAGCTATAGTAGGTTCCAGACCCTGTGAGGGAATGAGAAAAGTCCTTGAATTAAAACACGACGGCTAGGCCTAAGGGCCCGAGTCAGAGAAGCCAGGATTTACATGTAGTTTATGATAGTTTAGCACCACAACTTAAATGCTTGGGGACAGAGTCAAAAGGAAACGAGATGGAATACAGACTTGTGGACACGAGCACTGCTCTCTGTGGAGAACCGGGGTCTGCCGGAGAGACCCTGGTGTGCTATAGGAAGCCAGGCCTGAGGCTGCCTGCCCTGCCCTGCCCTGCCCTGATTAGTGGGCTGTAAACAGGTGCTGCCAGGCTTCCCTGGGTGTTGTCTCTCACCTTAACTGCCTACACTTCTTTGCTCCCCCCATTTATCCTAGCTCCAGGCTGCTTTTTCCAATGGCTCACTGTAACTTTGTATGCTCTCCAAACCTCGAGCTCACCATGAAATGTGATGTTGAGCTGCTCTGCATTCAGACCTGCTACAGCTTCCCAACTGTGCCCAGGGACCCATAGGTCATGTTGCTCAGGCTAGAGGCTTCGCATTGGTCTCTACCGACCCCTTCCACATCATCAGATGCTGAGGCCGGCTAGACCAAGTGAGAGCCTACTGAGTCTTCACAGATACTGTCAACCTGAGGCTCGTGGCTCCCTGAAGCTCCCTGACTCATCACCATGGAGCCGATCCTCTTTACCCGTGCAAGGGATGTTTCCTAGACAGACCTCACAAGCTGGTACCCATGGGTCCTCTGGAGAAGAAGAATCTGTACCTTTCTCCAGAAAGTTCATACTCCCCCTTCACTCCATACAACATGGAAGAAGCTGGTGTTACCCTTGATGGTTAATTCAGACCCAGGCCTCAGCACTGGCTCACAGAAGGCCATCAAGGGTGAACATGCCACTTAAGGAAAGGTCAGGAGCACAACTCACACCTGGTCCACCTCACTACGCCAGGTGGATCTCTGAGTTTGAGGCCAGCCTGGTCTACAGAGTGAGTTCTAGGACATCCAGGGTTACACAGAGAAATCCTGTCTCAAACAACAACAACAACAACAACAACAAACCAAAAAGAAAACAAAAGAAATGCTGAGCAAGAAGCCCAGTGGCTTTCCGTGACAGCACAGGCACCCATTGTCAGCACGGGCAGTTTGCTTGACTGTCCATCTCATATCTATTTCTGCTTTAGGAGCAGCTTCCATGTTCACCAGGTCCATCAGGAAACCAGAGCGTTTCCCTCAAAGGCTCTTGTTGGCTGGGGAGGATGTGGAACATCTTTTTATGGAGTATGAACCTTTGGGAGCAAAGGAGTAAGGCTCTGCTGTAGGCAAGTGAGAGTGGAAGGAGGGGACATACTGCACAGATGGGTCGCTGTTCTTTAGAGAGGTGGTGCCATGTGCCTAGGTGGGCAGAGGCTGCTGGGTTAGCACCGTGACAGACCTGGCCAGCTCAGTGCCTTCAGGTGAGCAGACACGAGCAACAAAGACACTCTGAAAAGAGTTGGGCAGACATTGAAGACCAAATAACGCACACGGGGGATGTGAGGCCCTCTGGGCTGGCTCAGCTCGTAGGCCTCTGCTTCCGATATTGAGCTGGCACCCACATACCTTTCGGACCATGGGACTCCCGTCATTGATCAGCTGGGCCAGCATCATGGCCACATTGTGGTCGATGGTGGTAGAGTGGTCGGTCCTCTCAGCAGAGTTTCCCACAAAGGTGCCAAGGGCAAACACAGCTGCACATCGAACCTGCAGGGCAGGAGACAGGCAATCAGTGTCACACCCACGGCTGGCGTGTCTGCCATCTGCATTCTGCCCAGGCTGTCTGCAAGTTAATTCAATTCAGTTCACAGAAGTTCAGCTCAATTCAATTTCACAAACACTTACTGTACGATGCTCCAGGCCCAGAGCTACACTGGTATTGATAAGCAGAAAGGGTGTGTGTGGGAAGTTCAGGAGCCAAAGGCGGAGGCAGCATAGCCCCAGTTCAGGGATGACCAGGCTGTGGAGGAGGGAACAGTTTCTTCTACAGTGTGTAGACTGGCTTGTACAGTGGACTTTTGATTACAGAGTTGAAGGAGACAAAGGTGTTCTGGAGAAGACTGGCCCAGAGCTGATCTGGGGGAAGGTGGACTGGACTAAGCCATAGAGGAAGGTTGTGGCAAGTGGAGAAGGTGTGGCCCGTTCTGAGACAGAAGCTAAATGGAAACCAGAAAGGGTAAAGTCCTAGGGTACAGTGGCAGTGAGAAAAACAGTACTGGGCTGGCCATGGTACCCAGGGGCCTCAGCTCAGCTTAGCCCCAAGGCCATGCGACCTTGGGAAAAGAAGCTAACATTGGAGAGTCAGTGTCCTCCTCTCTGTGATGAGCAACGTGAAGCATCCTGCACAGGGCTGGAGAAGACAGTGTGCAACAATCCCGGACTACCCACAAGTGAGAGATGGCTGTGGAGCAGTCAGTGATATGAAACAGTGAGTAAGGTCAGAGGCCTGCCAGAAAGTGCAGGCTGATTTAGAGTAGGAAGGCATGTGGCTCTCAGGCCCCACCCAGGCTATGAGCCACTGCCACCCAGAGAGCCACACACAGGGCTCCAGAGATAGGCATGGCTGCTTTAAGCTTGTGTACCCTAAACTCCTTCAGTCTGCATTATGACTCACCCAGATAGTGGCTGAGTCTCAGAGGAACCAAGCCTCGAGGACAGAGAAAAGCAAGCTTATCTTCCAGTTAGGAAAAACTCACTAGACTATTTCAATGCAGACTTGTGTGGACATGAAGAACTGCCTTGTGTCTTGTGGCCTGGTGATACTGGTTTGTTCAAAGGTTTCTCATGGATGCCTGTCAGCAGTTATGAAGGTGCTGGGTGGCTGGAGGTGGTGTTGGTGGATCACATGGTCAATGCTGCTCTCTGTGACTGCATTCCTAGGGCTGTCCCCAAAAGAACCATATTCTTTTGCTGGGATATCCAGATGTGGAGTTCCCTTGGCAGGGCAAGTGGCTGTCTCTAGTGGGCAGATGAGGCAGAACTTGGGCCTGAGTGGGTAACATATCTTAAAGACACAGAATGGGGCCTCCTGCTGTAGTATGGGTGCCCTCCCTGGACAATTTCAAGATTTCTTGGCAAGTTCATTTTAGGCTTTTCTGCAAAGAAATATTCCGCCTCTTGGGGTAACTACAGAGGCTACCCACTACACCTAACTTTCTCAGGGTTCTCCAAGGCCGCAAGAAAGATGGGCACTGACTTGTCCCTGGCATGTCTGGGGACAGATGGCACTGATTTCTCAAGAATTTAGCCAAAATCTGACGTGATATATACTCAGGCGATTCAGAATCGCCCTTTAAGCTATAGCCAGGACTGTACTGTCCACCTAGTGGACAATGGCTCATAGCTGCTTGGACCCTTGGCTTATTAACAAATACACAGTGATCATTTCTAAAATGATAGCAGGGTCCCCACTCCCACTGAGACTCAAACACTCTATAACTGGGTCTCCCTGCTACAAAAGACAGTTTTGTCCCCTGTGTGTGAAGTGTTCTAGTGACCCGGAATGATGTCTGAGCCTCCAATGTCCCACCCTCCCAGAATGAACAAAGTACCCAGGCCTGCCACAGACAACAACACACACCTGTGCTTTCAGGTCAGAAACACACAGGACACGGGAGGCAACATGCCACATGCATCAGCAACTCAGGGAAAAGAACCAGATGCTCAGCTCTGTAATTAGCAGGAGGCAAGCCAGAGGGAAGTTCTAGATCAGACACGCCTCACCCCAAAGACTTCCCCCACCACCACTTGCTGCCTTTAGCCACCTTCTCCTCGCCACTCTGCATGTCATCAGAGCCTCATTGCTTCCTTCTCTCTCCACTTTCTTAGCTGAGAAGCCAAGGCCCTGACAAGGCCCCCATAGTTCCAAGCAATACTTCTGATGGCATAGCTGCCTGCTGTGGGTGTCTCTTCTCCTTCAGCAGAGTGAAGCCCCCATTATGGTCCACACTCTATTCGTGTCACTGGGCTAGTCATATTAAAACTATAAATGGGTACAGCAGAAGTTCCAAGAGTCTCAAGTCACTCTGTGGGATGGTCCATGTCCACTGTGGTCTCCCTGATGTGTGACAGAAGTGAGTGGACTGCAATGATCTCACAGTTGTGTGCTGGAAGACAACATGTTTGGCTCACGGGCAGATGGATTAACAAGCAGTTGTATTCAGCCTTCCCTTGAAGACTCTGCTTGGTTTTCTACCCACTGAATGTGAAGCCTTGTTCAGAGTGATAAAACCTGGGTGTTCACCCAGCCTGTTCCAAAGGCAGGAGACATAATGAGCTCAACTTGCTCTCCTGAGCTGGCGACGTCCTTCTAAACCACGCTCATGCTTTAGGGCTGCACTTGTTCCTCCCATCTCAGATACTGCTCTCCATGTTCGGGGCATAGTACCATTTTTATAGTTTCTGTTGTGTTTGAGCCTACAGATGACTTGAGCTGAGCGGTTCCCAGGGACCCAGCTGACCCCAGGCGAGGAATAGTTGTGCTCCCTCTTGATTACCTCCAATACTGGTGACTGTGGGTCTGGGAGGCTCAGAACAACTCGTGGCCATCTCTGTTAGCTCCATGGGCCTGCCTCTGCTGGCCTTGACCTCCCCGTCCTTATCCTAGCTTTTCTGCTCCTTACTATCTCAAAATCATGTTCTCTGGGACCCTTATAGGCTCTAAGCTGACTCAGCAGGCAAGGACGTATGTGGGTGCTCACTGGGGTTAGAGTCCATCTCTCCCCCAGGTTGCCAGAACACGCTGGACACGGGACTGGCAGCAAATGGCCTCGTCCTAAAGGGAAAAGGCAGTGCCCAACACCTTCTCTAGCCTGCACTAAACCATAAGGCACAAGGCCCTGACTAGTTATGTCTGCCTGTCTGTCTGTCTGTCTCTGTGCCGAGTGATAACCTGGCCCTGGTCCATGGGATGTACAGTACAGGATGATTCAAGCTTGTTTCTTAGAGCTAGCTGAGGCTGTGGCAGCTTGCAGCTGCCCCACTGCATACAGAGGTGGCTTAGTATGAGTGACAAGGCAAATGTGTGACTTTGTAGCAAGATCTCTGCGGATCTGTGCATAGCCCTGAAGATTCTGAAAGCACAGTTATGTTTGAGTATGGGCAGGCTTCTGCACACTGGTCCTGCATGACCTCTTTACAAACAGAACCCTGGTGGGACTACTGGTGTAGAGCACCTACCATACTCTGACCCAACATGGAAGCTACTTTTCCAAGGACAGCTCACCTCAGGGATGGGGTCGGAGAGGAGGCTGTAGAGCTTCTCGTGGGCGCTGTCTCTTACCCCACACCACCTCGCAGAGTCGAAATTCTGCCAGATCCTTCCTAGGCAAATGGCCACCCACTGGCGCAGCAAGGGGTGTGGGTCACTGAGCTGCTCCAGGCAGATGGCAATCAAGTTCCCCTGCAGGCAGGCTTCCTGGACACAGAACACAGGTAAGTGGTCCTCTGCCCTTGTAACCCAGGGCCGGGGCAGTCTGACACTACACTGTCTCATTGTAAATCCTGCCAATTCAGATTTGTCCTGCAATGGTAAGCTAAAGGGCAGGTTGGCCCTCTAGGGAGAGTACCCTGAACACTGTCTACTGCTGGGATCTGAAGGCTCCCTCTGCACATGTGGCCTGAGCTGCACTCCAGCCCTAGAATAGATTTGAGACAAGTCACTCTTCTGCCATTCCTGGAGCTTTGGGGCTGGAGCTGTCGTGATACTTACTTGCCCTGTTGTGTAGCTGTTGACGATTACAGCAAGAATGAAGGCTGTCATGGTCCTATGTTCAGCCTGGAAAACAAAAATGTACCATGGCTGTGCACCCTCACAGTAGACTCACCTTTCCTCCAAGCACTGAGCACCTTCTGTCTCAGCACTTGCCTAGCATGTGATGAAAGCAGCGTGCACTGGCCTTTGTGCTGAGGCATTCTTAAAGGTCTACAAGCAAAGACTGGCTTCTCCCTTGGATGCTAATGCCACAGAACATACTGAGGTTGCTCCGCTGTCCTCTGTCATGGCAGATAAAGTGGTTGGTGGTACCAATGGTCTGAAAGGCCCAACATGCTTCCCCTTTGTGCAGTTCTCAGTAAGCCTGTGTTCTCTAGTCAAGCACAATGGTAGTAAGATGCATGTAGCACTCTTTCGTTTTGTTTTGTTTTTGTAGACCAGGCTGGCCTTGAACTCACAGAGCTCTGCCTGCCTCTGCCTCCCGAATGTTGGGATTAAAGGCATGTGCCACCACAGCTGGATGAATGTAGCAATCTTTGCTTCAATTCCGGTCTTCTACTGGACAGATCAATTTTCATTTGAGTTTCCTCTTCTCTGTGTCTGGAAATCCAACAGTCCATTATGATTTCTTCATGGTGTCTCACTTTCCACATGTACATCAAGAGCCTAATCCTGTATTCCTCTGGGATTGCTGCCAGTTCTTGGGAGTTTCTTCAACCCAGTATCGCTTCTTACCTGGAACCTCTAATGAACAGTTATCTCTCTTTACACCACCAGTACCTGGCCATTGCCCTTGCTTTCTGCTGCTTTCCTATGGCAGTGTCTCCTGAGTTCACGGTAACAGAGACCAGGTCACTATCTTCCAGCATCATTCTTTGTCATAAAATGTCTGCACTTCCCCCTTCTGCAGAGCAGTATAACTCAGCAGGGAACTCTATCCGGCAATTGCTGGAAGGGCCAACACCATCCTTTACCATCACTGCCATGAATCACCAATGCAGCTGCCGTCTGCCTGTTCTGGGTTCTGGTTGCTTTGGGGATTTTCTTTTTTTTTTTTTTCTTTTTTTAGAGTCAAAACACTTTATTCAGAGGGTTGGGGAAAGGGTGGAGAGGTCCACGCTGTCTGCTGTCTTCCACTGGGCAGATCTTCGAGGTCTGCCGGTCGCTAAGAGCAGGGATTTTCTTTATGCTTCTGGTACTTGTTCCTCTGACTGTGCTGTGTCTGTGTGAATTTATTTAGTAGTTTCTCCAGCTCTCCCAGTCCCAGCCACTGTCTGTTCAGACGCTGCCCCCTCCTTTGCTTCCCCTGCAGTGCTCTGGAGTGACGTCAGCAGAAGTGGCCACCCTCACCCCTCACCCACGCCCCCATTTCAAGCCTTTGCTTTCTTCTCAGGCGGTGCCTCCACTGCTCTCCCCCTGGCTGTGCTGCCCTATGATCATCACCTCCCGTGTTCTCTCAGGGGAGGGTGGGGTGGGGCTGCTCTTCTTCCACTGTGCTCTCTCAGTGTCTGTCTACTTAAGGGTAGTCAAAGTGGGCTGTTTTCTTGTAGCAGCAGAAAGCTGTTTCTGAGAAAATGAAGTGGCTGACAGGCATAGTTAAACCAAACTGCCTTATCCAGCCGTCCTCAAGCCCTGACTGCATGGTCTCAGACCCTTTTCCGGGAGTTCTCACCTCTGTGCTGGGCTTAGTTAAAACAAACAGCCAGAGGAAGAATTTACATATAAAAGTTCTTCATATAGGCACCACCTCAGAGTGCAAATATGCTGCTGTACTTAAATATTCTGGCAAGTAAGCCCTATGAAAGAGTGACTGAGGACGGCTGTTCTGTCTATATTACTATGCTTAGCAGCGGGAGGGGGGAGGGAGCGATTCAAAACCTGGTAATAAAATATTATGAGAAAACTGCTGTGTGTCCTATTCATGCTAGCTGATTTTTATTTTTTTAATTTTTAAGGTTTTTTTCGAGACAGGGTTTCCCTGTGTAGTTTTGGTGCCTGTCCTGGATCTCGCTCTGTAGACCAGGCTGGCCTCAAACTCAGAGATCCACCTGACTCTGCCTCCCGAGTGCCGGGATTAAAGGCGTGTGCCACCGCCACCCGGCTAATTTTTAAAACAATGTAATAAAAAATTATATATGAAATTCAAACTTTCAAACAATGTCTTCCTTCCTTCAGTAAAGCACGTCAACATCTTGTCCTGTTAAGGGACCTTTGGGGCACCTGAGGCACCATACTATAGACATACAAGTATTCATTCATCTGTCCGTCTGTTCAAGGTGCAGGTTCTAGGTAATGGAGATGCCACTGCTGGGCAGAGACGTGCAATGGCAGCTGACCGAATGGCACAGGAAGACCAGATTCTCGCTTGAGGCAGGAGGAAATGGAGCAGTGTGCACTGTGGGCACTAAGTGGCCGTTCATGTGTAACCATGGAGCACCTCTCTACCTGGCCCTCAGAGAGGAAGGGCAACGCCTAGTGTGTGAGTAGAGGCAATCCCATGCTGTCTGAGAGAAGCGTGGCTCAGTCCTTACTGGCATATATGGGTCTGCCAAGACGGAAAGGAAGTACTTGTGACCGTTGTCCTTCACGAGGTCAGCCTGGCACGACTGGAGGAAAAAGGAGACAGAAAGGTCATGAGTGCAGGAACCAGCGGGATGTGTCAACGGCTTCTTACGAAGCAGGGGCATGCAAACATGCTGAGAACACTTCGTGATTCTGCAGCTTTCCTTGCAAGTCCAGTTTTCACTTGGGAAGAAGTTCTGGTTGCTGCCCTTGGAGAAAAGGCTGGAGTCCTACAACTCTCAGAAGAAAAGCCCAGCACCACTCTAACAGGCCACTGGGTTGCAGGCAGCTGGTTAGGGACTGTGCTCCCACCCCTACCCTCCTCTACTCAGTCCAGACTTCTCCTCTCAGGCTTCCTGCTTCTGCCCATGTTCACCAGCCCGGCAGAAATGAAAACATTCTGATATTTTATTTATTTATTCTCTATTTTTATGTAGTTGAGTGTTTGATTTTATGTATGTAAGAATGAGCAACACATGTTGTAGGTAATGGAGATGACTACTTGGTGCTCTTGGTCTTTTAGGTTCTAGTTTTTGCTGAGATCCTTTTTCTCAGACCCACTTCTTCTCAGGTCCCTTCCCCCATCTCAGACTCCTCCCCTCTTCTCAGGGTCCCTTTCTCAAAGGCTCTTCCTCCTAGGTCTATGCCCCTCCCCATATCAGACTTTTCCCTTCCTCTGAAGTTTCCCACTCATCTCAGGCTCCCCTCCTCTTGCCTTTCACATGAGGATACTCAAGAGTACTCTTGTTTCTCTAGTGCTGGTACCTGCCGAAGCTTCTGGGGATTTTGTCAGGATTCATGCCATACAATATTTAATGGGAGCCTCCTAGAGACTCCCCTATTCCTAAGCAAAGAAAGAGCTCTAAGATTCAAGGACTAACATAAGTGCTCAAGAAGCCACCAGACGTAAAGCCCTTTCTAACTCAGTGGACTCCCTCCTGTGAACACAGTCCAGTCTGGGTGGTCATCATGTGCCACAGTTGAGCCCTGCCCATGAGAACAATGGTTCTGTTCCAGAGATACAGTCAGTTAAGTCCGGCTGCTGACTGCTGAGGGAGACAACTAAGTGGACAGCTGTGATATACAATGAGACAAGCTGGCAACACCTGAGAAGCCACACGTGGTGGTGGTGGTGGGATATGCTTTCTGGAGGACAACAAAGCAGAATTAAGAAGGAGAAAGGGAAGGGCAAGACGGAGAAGAAGGAATAGAAGGGAAACAGGCTTAGAACGTGGGGTATGAAGAGGCAGGTGACCGGGCGCTAGGCGGCACTGGAGAGCCAGCAGAAGCTGAGAACAAGGGATAGTGTCGCCAGATCAAAGCCCAAGGTCAGCTGTCAGCAACACTGTTAATATTGATAACCTGACTTAGAATGATATAGGAGACAAACCTCTGGGCAGGTCTTCAAGGGAGTTTCTTTACAGTTGGGCCAGCTGAGGTAGGAGAACCCTTCCCTAACGTGTATGGCACTGTCCCATGGACTGGGGTCCTGGATCACACAACGGACGTGAGCTGAGCAGCAGCATTTGCTGTCTCTGCTTCCTGACTGCACTCTGACTGCTGCCTCAGCCTCGTGCTCCTGCTGCCAGGACGACCCGCCACCAGACTGTACCTTTCAACTTGAGCCCAATAACCCTTCCTCCTCCAAGTGCTTCGTCACAGCAGTAAAGAAAGCAACAACGACAGGTTATATGATGGCTGGGGGCAGAGGAGGGACCATGTGCAGCACAGACAAAAGGATGGGGACAGTTCCAGAGACATGAGAAAAGCACTGAAGGGCATGGAAGAGGGTGCACAGATGGGCGTGCACCGCGCTGAGACGGAGACACAGGCAGAGCACCACTCAGGAGGATGCACAGAAGCCTGGAGCTAGATCAGAGCTGATGTCATGTGGGTATGGTGGTACAAAAGCTCCTCAAGGTGAGTAAGAAGGCCTTGGCTGTTCATGGCATGGGTGTGGCCACCGTGGGAACTGTGGAGAGCATGGCTTCGGCTCTCCCTCTTTCCACTGGTCCTACTTTCCACTAGGCTGAGTGATTTGGGGGCATTATTTGAAAGCTCTGGTTCTTCACAGGAAGGACATGATCTGGCCTTAGAGATTCAGAAGTTAAGGATGATGTTGTGGGAGGCGCCAGGAGGAAAAAAGGAAAGAGGAAGTGGTTGCAGGTCAGGTTCTCACTCCCTTCAGTGAGGCTCCCAGCTTAAGTTTAGAACTCCATGCTTGAGTGTAAAGAGTCATGTGACCCATGAATGATGGGTACTGTAATCCTCGGAGAGAGATGGTAAGGCCTTCTGGGACCAGTACCCAGGGTGATGTGCCACCTTCTCACCAGCTCCCAAAAGCTCTGTTCTAGGCTCAGAGGCCCTCAGGGAACCAGACTTGGACTTAAGCACTGAGGATGAGAACAAGGGATATCACATTCTGCTTTTAGGACCTTCTTCCTTCCAGGGCCATGCACATGGGCTCTGCTGGGTGCTCAGTGTGGACTCTGCATTACCCTCCCTTTGTCAAGGGCCCAGAATTTCTCTTGGTGGTGATAAGCGAGTTCATCAGGTGGACACTGGCTCTGTAAGGTGGAATTAGACCAGATGGAGGTGGTTGGCTTAACTGCAGGCTTTTGACCCCAGCTCCTGCTCATCAAGCCACACACACATCATAGACTTCCCAGCTTTAATGCAGGCAGTTAACAAGCCAGAAGCCTCAACCTTCATCCTTGTAAAGACCTGGCCTCCAGGGCTAGGAGACTGCCCACGTCTGTAGCAGCAGCAGCAGCAGCGCAGTTCAAGGAGGAAAGACACCTTCCTTTGTTTTTAAATCAGAGCTGACAAGTCAAATCAAAGCCCACACGTTTACAGGAAGCTCCTTAAGCACAGCTCATCTGAGAGTAATAAACTGTCATTAATTCATATCCTCCTAATTCTGAGTGCGAGCCTCCAAGTCAGGAGATCTGAAAGGATCACTTTAATAAGCCTTCAAAAGCAGAGTCTGGCGATTATGAGGCATATATTAAAAGATTTCTGTTTTGATAAGCTTGTCACGCCACTGCAGAGCAGCAGTAATGGCTGCTCTTCACACGTCTGCTTTCATCACCAGTGCTCACAGGTGTCATGTGTATACTGGTTTCCACTGCATGGAGGGTGTCCATCCCCCAGCAGCTCCACTTGCTCAGGACGAGGTGCAATTCCCTTAACCTGCTTTCTCTTTATGAGTCAGTCCTAGGCCAGCAGCCTCACTGAGTTGGAAAGAAAGCAAGGCTACAACCTAGCAGGGCAGGAAAACCAGTGAGAGCTCATCCTCTGTGGAGGATGTGGGGGCTCTGACCATGCTGCACATGCTAAGCAGTGCCTTCTCACACCAGGAACAGTGATGATGACATATTAAGGCTAGAGTAAGGAGGGGAGAAGGAAAAGCAGGAAAACGGGGTTTTCTTGGCGGACCGCCTCTGCCAATGCAATCCACTCCGACCCCTGTAAGTCTGTCTCAGGGTTTCAGGGAAACAGGAAGAAAGGGGGGAGGGGGAAGTAAAGGTGAAGAAGCTGCTAGTCTGACTGTCCAGCCACTGCAGTTGAACACTGCTAAGGGAGCAAGTCCTGGACCAGCTGTGCAAGTGAGCTTCCCTACTCCAGATGTTCTGCTAAAGGATATCCTGGGGAGAGACCTGACTTTGCTCTCCTTACTTCAGAAGACCACAGCGTATAGGAAGAGAACTTCACAACATTACCATGTCTGACGGGGAGGTGCAGGGCAGCATAGGGCGACCATAAGAGATTCCATCTATGAATGTACGGCCCTGTGCTTTCCAGTGTGAGCACAGAGAACTCTAGGGATGCTGGAGGTGACTCAGCCCAGAATGCAGTTTCTTTCTTGTCATGAGAAGCAGGCATATGACATTTGGGAGGGCAGATGTTTTCAGCAAGAGAAAACTGCTGTGAAGAGTGGCCTTGGTGGGTGATTAGCATAGCACAGGGAAGCTGCAAGGAATCTGGATACTGGAGGAGGAGGAAATGAGGTGCCTGTACACCTTGGGCATAGCACCAACAGAACCTGGAGATGGAGGAGCACAGTGGAGATCTCACTGTTCTTCAGGATGCAGCAGAACATATAGCAGGAGGTCTGAGCTATGCAGTCCCCACAAGCTGAAACCTGAGCACAGCTGCTTTCCCACAGGCCCAGTGATGTGTACTGTCACTTTCCAAATGTGGCTTATTAAATATTGAAAAACCTGTTAGCAATGCTGTTAGATGCACCTGTGTGTAAGGTAGCCCTCAAGAGGAGGAGGGACCACGATGCTGTGCCTAGTTCGGATGTGAGAGGCACGCGTTGGGCCCTTCCTCCACACTTCTGTATTTGTACCTGCCCCCTCATAAAATCCATCAAGGTTGAAAAACCCAAATTCTATGGAAACGAAGGCTCCCCTGCCACTCTGTGTGCTCACTCTTCTGTTTGTTTTTCACATGCATTTTTGTTACAGACACATAAGCAAATATGAATTTACACACTCAGCTAATTTCCCCAAACCAAAAGTTTTAACATGACAAGATGCCTGAGAGTCTTTTTTTTTTTTCTTTATAAAATTTTTATTGCTACATGATGCAGGACAGGCAAGGAAAATTATGAAGCCGCGGCAAGGGAAAGGGGTGCTCCCTGAAGCCTCTGCCATAGGGCATCAAGAACTCTGCATGGTTCGCAGCATCTGCTGTTCAGGTTGCCACACAGGGCAAGATCCCTGTTACAGAACCACTTGTAGGAATGTTAAAATGGCAGGAGGACCTGAAGAAGGCTAAGCATCATTAGACTTCTCTCTTCCTAGTTGGGAACTCACAGTGTTCTAGGAGCCTCACAAGAAACTCCACTTAGAACCAAAGCTCCACCTTAACCCTCTTGTGCAACCTTGTGACCTATGGCTTCATCTTGTCCGATGACAACCCTACCCAAGGCACCTTTGGAGTGTACCATCTCACTCACCAAAAATGAAAACAAAGACATGGAGGCTTCTTAGCAACCCTTTGAGTTGGAACTTGGCTACTGCTGAGACACATAGGT